TAAATTTTGCTAATCTGTTAATTGCTAGCAAACTTTACCTTGTACCATATGCCCAAGTGAAACATATTCTACCCGAATATTCAAAGTAGGGATCATCACTATTTGAAAACAAATTCAATGCGACACCAACAACAACTACAGCACAACACACAATGATAACCGTGCAATCGCTTGAGTGCGAAATTATAGTGAATGCCCATGCGATACTGGAATCTGCCCCATGTCGTAATAGTCCATAAATTATTGTTACGAGTGGTCGTAAGAATAGCCAGTCTCATATATTTACTCTGCCAACAGAAGGCAACAGCTGGCTCGGATTCGCCTTCTAACCGTCAGTGAATATGAACACGTGCTTTTGCTTGATAATGATGTTAAACCTGTATGATCTCGGTTTTTATGCGTAATGTGCGGTAACTCGGCGCCCGACGCATAAAAATTGAGATTTGAGATTAAACTGGATCCAGGGATTTCAGGCGGTTTCTTGTCCAAGAAGTATAATGACTATTTTATTAGAAAAAAAGTATGAACAAATATGCTTTGAACTCATTTCCATTTCCATATTTTATCTATTACCCTGATATGTTTTTACTGACTGTTACACAATATGTGGTTGTAAATTCAGATCGGATATCAGCCTATAATAGTGACAGCGAAGATCACCCTACTAAACTCCTAGCACTTTGATACAGTTGTTTACAAGTATAATGGTCGCAACAAAACGCGATGTCATCGAAGTTCGTACTGACATACAAAGTTCTGAAGAATTTTCACACAGTCAGTAGAAAACAATTGAAGTACCAAATATATTGGTATGGTATTCAGTTACAAGCAAACCATTGTTGGAGCTCCAAATAAATAGAAAAGGTAACTGACTACTCAACTCATATTGTTTATACACACCACTTTGCTTCGCATGGATGTGGAAACTTTCAAATGTATTTCTCAGATTTAGTCTAAAAAAATGTTATTATTGCTCTTCATAATTATGAAGAGTTAAAGTTGCATGAGGTTTTCCATCTTATCGTATCCACCGTATCATAGACGTATAATAAATTCCCTACTTTCCTGGACCATCCCTAGCGGTGTGTGTGTGGGGGGGGGGGGGCATACTCGCATATACTCGTGCGCGAATATGTACCTTTACAATAATTTACATGCATATACACGTGTAAACGAATGTATACACAATAAAACATTAATAAAAGAGGTATAAAACACGAAACAGCCGATTTTATATAACGGTCGTTTTATTGGGTCTGGATTTGCCCCTTTTCACGAGTCATTTGTTTGTTTGTTTCTGTTACTCGGAGACTAATAATCATAACCACCTAACAAAGTGCATTTGAAAGAGAAATAATAGTAGTTTCTACAGTAATGAAATGGTAAAGATCCATAAATGAAAAAAATACATGTTTAAAAATGAACAAATATCCCCCCCCCCCCTTTTTAGCTACGGCTTTTCCTTGCCCCAGAATTTTTATCTGATTAGAATGTTGGATATATCTTTGGAAAGCTTGTGAAAATACGCAGACAACATAGCGGATTTTTCTATTTTGCTTATTTTTATAAGAATTTTTGGGAGTCGAAAAAAACGGTGAAAATTATTTTTCTTTACATTTTTTTCTGGGGAAGCTAAATCGAATTTCCAAAAAGGCTACTATGTTGTCGGGAATACATTGATGTTCATTCACATTTTTTTTTTTTTTCATGACATAATTTATAATCCTCTGAGACAAGGAATCGACCGTGCAGACAGGTGAAAAAATAATTGAAAACCCGGTTTCTTGCGGGGGCCATCGTCCACCATGTGGGAACCCTCATATATTTGTAAAATACATCAAATATCCAAAAATCAAGAAAATCCGTAAGACCGTTTTTTTTTAGAAATATTTACCAATTTTACCCCCCATAACCCCAATTCCGCCCCCAGCCCCCCGTTTAGGGACGGTCCCCGTAAAACTATATAATAAATACATTATTAAGCCATTAATGTAACATCATTCAACAATATAAAAGGCATCCACATTTCTTTATAGAAAATGTATTAGGTGAATAACTTCAGAAAATGAAACATTGAACCTGTAAATGATTTATCTAAAAAGTATACGACTATTCATAGTAATAGCGTTGCAGGGCTGAAGGCTTAAAGTCAGTCTATGGGACTATGAGAGTGCATACGCGGCGATAGGAGAAAGTGTCAAGTTGTAGTGATGCGATATACCCGCCATCCCGAGAGTGGACCAAAATACCATAGTCTCTCCTCTTCGCTGCTACGGGACAGGGTGATAGGAGATGGCGCCACCCGCGACGGACCTGCGCCTGGCTTTCTCCTTGGAATTGTGACGATAAAAAGCCTGCGAAGCCATTAATCAGGGTGGCCCCGATGATAAAGCATCTTAATCATGATGCCATGATTAAGTTGCTAGAAGTGTGCAATGAAATTTGGAAAAGCCAGACTTTTCCAAACTCATGGCACTTCGCCCATATCATTCCCATATTG